CCCCGGGGCGGGACTGGCTGGTCTTGAGGGGCTGGCACCCAGGGCCCCTTCTGGCTGCGGGAACCCCAGATCCAGTGGGGGGCTCTGTCCTGCTACACCCGACACAGGCACAGTGAGGCCCTCTGAGCCCTCCCGGGGGGCTGCTCCCCAGGCGCTGAGGCCCCGCTCTGCGCCTCTGCAGGTTTGTAAACGCCTCTTCGGACTCTGCGGGGGGCAGCGCCACCTACATGGACCAGGCCCCCTCCCCAGCCGTGTGCAACCAGCCTCACTTTAACATGTACCCACAAAAGTAGGTGTTCTCCTGGGGCTGGGGGGGGGAGGGGCCTGGCCTCAGGCGGGAAGCCAGGGGGGTGTGGACAAAGGGATCCCGAGCTGCCGTGGGCCAGAGACCACACCTGCCTTACGGGATCGGGGTCTGTTTGAAGCGAGACAGTACAGCACGTAGCACAGGTGGGATGGGGTGGCTGTCCCTACGCATTGTTGTAAACGGGGCATCAATGGCTCCTCTCTGGAACCCCCACGGTAGGAAATCCTCTCCTGAAGTCTGGGTGCCTGAGAAACCCAGCCTCAGTGGGATGACCACAGCCTTGGAGGCATGGCCTGGAGTTCCCATCTGGACAGCCCCTGCGGCCAGAGGCCCTTAGCAAGTACCCTAACATGGCCGAGCCTCAGCTCCCCCCTGCAAAGTGGAGTACATTCCTGCCTCACAGGTGTCTGTGAGAATGGGAGGGGCCGAGGCCCAGCTGTGGTAGGGACTCAGGGAATGGGACCTAGGATTTTACAGGACAGCGTCACAGGTGGGCCGGGGTCAGGACCCAGCCACCTGGCCTCATGGGTGAGGACAGGAGAAGGCCCGAGGTCCCTCCCTGAGTTCCCTGCGGCCCCTCTGTGACGTGGCGGGGGATGGGCTGGAACGGGGCTGTCTCCCAGAGAGCAGAGACTGCCATGGCGTGGGGGCCTGCGGGAGCTTGTCCCGTCCCCATGAGGCTTTGGGTCGAGTGGGAGGAGGCTGGGGACTGGGAAGCACTGCAACCACCCTCCCTCTACCAGCCCTGACCCGGTCCTGGACCAAGATGGAGACTTCGACCTGGATGAGACCATGGACGTGGCACGCCACGTGGAGGAACTCCTGCGCCGCCCGATAGAAAGCCTGGACCCCCGCCTGTCCCCGCCCGCTGGTCTCTTCACCTCTGCCAGAGGCTCGCTGTCTTGAATGTTTGACTCCCACACTTCTCCTGGGAAATAATACTCAACGCGAAGGGTGCGGGTTCATCATGGTCTAAGCATTGCTATGCACGGAGGTGTCGTCCGCCAGCAGTGATGCGCGCCTGTGTGTGTGTGTGTGTGTGTGTGTGTGTGCAGTGGGTACGCCAGGTGTGGCTGCAGCAGCCAGGGCCGCCTCTGCCCCAGAACCAGGCCGCCCAGAAGTCCACAGGACCTGCCTCTGGGCGGGAGAGATGGTGCTGCCCCTGCCGTTGCAAGACCTCACCGGCGCCAGCCTACTCCTGCCAGGGCTTCTGTCTGTCAGCCGCTATTTGAATGACATGATTCAAGGGATGAAGACAGGCAGCATCTCTGAGCTTAAGATTCCTCCTGAGTTAGCAGCTTTGCCTCCCAGATGTGTGTGTGTGCATGTGCATTACCCGTGTGCAGCTGGCCCCGAGCACGCGTCTATTGATTCTTTCCCTCAGGAGGAAGGCGGGGGTTGAGTTTTGAGGAGCATGTACTTTAATGAATATGGACTCCGCTCTTTGTGAACTGGGAGCTCATCTAGGCCAAGGCCATGCCTTTAATACAGCAGAAGTGGATGACCTGAGTCTGCTGGTCACAGTAACTCTGGAGTATGGAGAATTTTTGGCCTCTGAGTTCTGGCCAGGGGTTGGGCTTCAGACCCATGAGGCCGCTGCCCATGTTAGTGCCATCTCTTTCCACCCACCCCCTCCCCACCACCCAACGCCACACTGCTTCCTTGCCTGTGTTTGTACCCTTGCTTACGGGAGAGAAGGTAAGGCCTGGTCAAGGGTACAGTGAATGAACAGGGGCCCAAGACGTGTGAGGTGAGCCCCTTCCTTCCTGGAAAAAAGCTGCAACGAGAGACCAGCGGCCCATCTGCCACTGGCTGGGAATCGAGTGAGGGGTGAAAGCTGGTTCTGTTCCACTCTGGGAGGTAGAACCTGAACCAGGCCTCACTGCAGCTGATCGCTGGCTGTGGCCGGAGGCCTGGCCCCTCCCTCTCAGACTAGGACACCCAGCCCAGGGCGGCCAGCTGATGTGGGGAATGGGTCCCAGGTCTAAACATCTCTGAAGGAACATGGGGACCAGAGGGATCCTTTTGTATTTTGTACATAGGCCACACATTTGTGTGAACAGTGTTTTTGAATAAAAAAAAAATTTTCATAAATCTACTGGCCTGACTGCTGGTTTGGGGAGCTGGTGGCAGTCTCCCTGGATAATGGGGCCCCCCAGCTCTTGGACTCATCTGCGTGGCTAATGCCGTCATGTGTAGCCTAAAGCTACAAATCTCTTTTCTGTGGTTTTGAGGGTGCCAACCACTCCTGGAATACTGTCAGCGTTTCTCAGAAGATGCGAGAACTAGGTCTTGAGAAAAGAGCAGGAATTACTGGGTGGGGTGGGCAGGGCAAGTGGGAAGAGCTGTGGCCTGGGCCTCTCCTTCCCAGCCACTGCTCTCCTGATCTGGAAGCCCGAGACCCAGGTGGTGCCAAGATGCTTCTGGGCCCTTCTCTTTCCAGCCCTCCAGGGCGGGCCAGTGTGGGGGGCTCAGCAGCCCTCCACCCCGCTGCTTCCCAGACACCAGCAGATGGCACCATCCTACTGCCTCTGCCTTTGCAAAAGGCCTGCCTGGGGTCAGGAGAGCCGCTGCAGTGAAGGCAGCCTGCCCATTTGGACATCAAGGTGTCCAGAGACCAGGGGTCCCCGGCAGGGGGGTGGTGGGGAGCAGGAACCTGCTACGGCGTTCCTGTCAGAGCTCAGCAAGGGAAGGAGGGCCTGCAGCCTGCCCCAGGCAGGCACAGGGGCCCAAAGTGAGGGCTGGCAGGGGTGGCGGGTGTGAGTGGGCTGCCTGAGTGACTAATCTCCCCTTCCATCTCTGCAGGGGGAGGCACTGGTATCGTGTTCACACACTGGCTGGGTCTCTCCATGGTGCTTAGCGAGAGGGGAGGGGGCAGGGAGCGTGCCACCGAGTGGGCGCTGATGTCTGGATTATCATCACCCGCTTCCAGAGCTGCAGCCGGAGCAGCCAGTTAAGTGTTTACATTTGTCTGCACTGAGTGAACTGAAGAGAAAGTGATAATGAAGCCAACTGTAGAAGGGGCGGCCTGGGGGGTGGGGTGGGAGTATCTACACCCAACCCCCCTTAGGTAGCTTATCTAGCCCCAAACAGGACCCAGCAGCTTGCAAAGGCCCCAGAGGAAGGAGGTGGAGGCTGGCAGTTAACTTAAAGTTGGGGCGTGCTCAGCGCCCGGGAGATGGGTCTGCACCAAAGGAGAGGCCAAGGTGATAGCCCAGGAGTGGGGACAGCCACCTCTTCAACCTCCAGCTGGCCTGTAGGTCAGCCCCTAGGAACTGAAGCCAGGACAAAGACAAAGGACAGATTAGCCACATTGTCAGGTGGTTGCTATATAATTTTTATTTCTGGAAGTTTAAAGTAGATACAGCAATATACAAAAAAAAAATCAAAACCCCACAATAATATAAATTTTTACATGACGTATACAGTGGAATTTGAGTGCAGTGGCTACGACGGCAGCTCCCAGACCACTGTGTAGGTAGGTAGGTTAAGCGATCATGGGAGCCCCTTGGCTGGGCAGGGGAGGGGAGACAGTGGGAAGAAAGCTTTGGGCAGGTCCTGGAGAACTCTGTTCTTTAAGGGAGGGGCCAGAACAAGTCTCAGCTGCTCTCAGAACCTTTGCTACAATCAGTTAAAATCAGTTACACATGCTACCTAAAAGTCTGGAACTTCTCAGTATCGGCTCCAGAGAAGCCCGGATCCTCGTCCCAGGCCCTTACAACCTAACTAACCTTCGCTCAGTTTATGTTAAGCTTATAGTGAACAGGAGCGTGTCTCTGGGGAAGGGAGCCCTGGACATCAGCCACCCGCAAAGGAGGCAGGACGGCCTTGCTAGTCTTGGAGAGAAGGTCCTCACCCCTTCACTCAAACTCACTATACTGGGGGTAAGAAATCACTCCACCTTCAAGTCTGATGGAGAGAGCAAGGTGGTGCTGCACCTAGGTGTGCCTGTCTGAGCAGGTCCCAGCATCAGCGACCACCCTGCCCGTGGCTAAGCATTCCAGAACACAGTAAAGGCCGGCTGTTCTGCTTCATCCTGGGGCCCCGATGGGAAGCAGTCCCCGGCTTAGGGGAGAGGCCAGCGACTCACAGGAGGGACAGACCTTGAGTTTACCAGAGAGCCTTTGCTCCTGGGCTAACCAAGTGAAGAGGTGGTTACAGGTGCCAGGGGAAGTCACCAAGACACTGGGGTAAGAACCATATTCCCTGAGCTCAACTAGACTCTCAGCTGGGGCTCCATAGTCTGGGTCAGGTTCCACCTGTAACTCTCCCCCTTACTCCAGGAGGTCTTGAGACCTGAATTCCTAAAGCAAACAGGACAAAGGGCCTTTAGACACTAAAGGAAACATGCCATTGGGGGTTAGGGGTGGGGACGGCAGGTGGGCTGGGGGAAAGGAAGGATCATCCCGTCCCTTTTAAGGCACCCAGTTAACAACCCAGGCTCTGAAACAGGAGCTAAGGTCCGGGGGAAGGGAGTGTGGCTGCAAGACGCCACCCCCACCAGCCTTACCTACTCACAGGCCCGCAGCATTCAAGGGGAAATAGCTCTGCTTCTTAAAAAAGTCTAGAATGTTTAGGTTCTCCTTAAGCCTTCCTATTTTTAAACCAAAGGCCAAACCTCAGATGTCTGTAAGGGCTGGATCTGAAGCCCATTTCAGGCTTTACATAAATGATGAGCCTGAAGAAAGCTGAATGCCTAAAGCACCAAGGAGGCTGTTAACTGAGTTTTCTTAAATACAGAAAAGGCTAGGCCGATACAGTGTTTTTAGCCCTTAATTTTTTTTTTTTTTTTTAATTTAAAAGAAACCTAAGGGCTGTGAAAGTTCTACCTTCTATTTGGACATTAGCGAGGTTGAAAGTGCAATGCCAGGAGAATGCAGCTAGAGGCAGCCTGTGGCATTCGCTTACCGAAGGCGAGGGGCGTGGCTGGCACGAGGCACTTGTCTAACAGAAAGCCGCTGAGAAAGGAGGGCTGGGGGGCGGGACATTTCCTTTCTCTCCCTCTTGCTGCCGCTTCCACATCCCCCATCACAGTCTCAGAGTTCGCATCCTTATTCACATCAGATAAAAGCGTATCACCCACATTCACTCATTTCTCTATTTAAAAAAGTGCCCAGATTGTTCAAAGATAGCAGAAGTAAGAGATTAAAAAAAATCTGGAACCACAAAGTCAGGCGCTTCAGATGGTCTGGGGTGTGGCCGGCTGAGGGTGGTGGGCACCGGCAGGTGCCGCCGTCCTCCTGCAGCTTCCGTCCTGGCTCCTCACATGGGGGAGGTGGCACACTCCGAGGTCAACTCCATGTCGAAGGTGAGGGACTCTGGAGGACAGAGGGGTTGGTCAGTTGCCAGATGCCAACATCTAGCAGGACCCGTGCCCCTGCCTTGTAGAGAACAGAGGCTCAGGCCGCCACCGGGTCTCCTGTGCCAAGACGGCCGGCTGGGGTCATCCGGCTCACTGTCCTCCCTCCAGGGTCTTTCCAGTCTCTTTCCTGCCTGAGTCCATTCCCCACTGGGCCGTGTGAGGAAGCACTGAGGTGCCCTAAGGAAGCTCTGCGGCAGCCCCGGCCACAGGTAGCTGCTGAGCACCTGAAATGAGGCCACAGCATAGACAGGCGGCCCCGTAAGACACTGGCAGATGCCAAAGATTAAGTACGAAAAATGTCAATACTTTTCTCTTACACGTTGAGATGACAGGACTTCAAATGTACTGGGGTAGAGAAAACACACTATTGAGATGATCTTCACCCGTTTCTCTGCACGGTTTTTAACTAGAAATGTACAGTACACTTGGCCTCGAGAGACACTGCTTCTGGAGCGAAATATTCTAGAACCTCCTCCTACCAACCCATGTGACAGCTCTGGGCCCTGGACACATCACAGCAAGGGACAGAATGTGCCGACCAAACACTCACCGAACTGCCCTCCTGCTGAGGGTTCTGCACCTTCACCATTATTTCCAAACTGCATCAATGAATCTAAAGTGCGGGGGGACATCGGCAGGTCAATGGTATTGCTGCAGGTCGTTCTGTAGGAAAGGGGAGCAGCAGGAGGGGAGAGGGCCGGGTTGACAAGACACAATGGAGGAAAAAAAAAAAACAAAAACAAAACACACACACACAAGGCATCAAACTCTGGTCTCCCAACAGAAAAGTAAAAGCTCAAGCTTTTTCAACAAACAAGGTCATTTGAGTGCTAAACACAGCCCAGGGCCTCCAACCCTTCACAGGGTCACGCTCACCCCACGCTACTCCCGGGGGTCACTGAGGATGTTAGAAATGAAGGCAAAACTGGAAAGGAAGCCACTTACGGTGTCACACAGATAAACTTGGTCTTCAGGTACGGGGCAGCACCTGGGAAGAAGAACAGCCGGGCTATGGTTACAACCCCCTCCGCCGGGCAGGAGGGGACCTGCGGCCTTACCAGGCCAACATGAAACCCACCCTGTGCTCGCATGCACATATAAGGTTGACATTCTGGGGCTTGCAGCTTGGGGGGTCGGTTCTTTCCGCCAAGGTCTCCTGAATTCAGACTCCCAGGTACCCATGTCCCACCTGAGACAGTGCCAGCGGGCGTGCATTTCCCCTAGATTACGCAAATGTTTCATGGGCCTGGGTGCTCTCTGAGGAGCTTGTGCCACCCCGTCAGCCTGGTCGAGTCTCCATCCTGTCTCTCAGCAAGCTCGTCTGCCTGCCGGGCCAGAGCCTGTGCTGTCTGGGCTCAGACTCCTGTGCCCCCAAGACCTTAAGACAATGTGGGAACTGCTGCCTGGTCGTTCCTAAGCCACAGATCTCACCCTCCATGCCTATCAGCACTGGTCTGCTTCTAGTACATTCTGAGGCATGGTATTGAGTAACCACACATTGAGTAACTATATCACACAAGAAGCAGCCTCTAAATATGGGGTACATGTCTTGGGATGAGGTATAGTCGCCTCTGGGCTGAAAATAGGTACAGGTCTTGTGCCTTCAGCAGCGAAGGGGCAGGGGGTGGGGGAGCCAAGGGCTGACATATTAAAGGGCAGGGGGACAGGCCCACTGTCTAGGGTCTCTGCCATTTATGATTCCCGCTTTATCGGTAGCATTGTAAAGACTGGAATACAAGAATTTTATCCGCTAAGTGCTTACTCCAAGGCCAAGGTGACTGGGAGACACTGCCATGAAATAGGGGGTATTTGGGTGAACAAATCACCTAGGGCTGGGGAGCAGTGGGGCACACCCTGAGAAGCACAGCTATAAAGGATGGTGCTTATGAAGAAGCTGGGGGTTCAGAATGTATGATGACAACCTGAGAAAAGCCAGTGCCAAGCATAAGGTGCCCTACGTTGCCACCTGGGCTTATTTTGTCATTTAAATGTCATTCAGTGTCAAACGTATAGAAGTTACATGCCAAAAAGGTCCTCTAAATCTAACTATTTTGCCCCAGACCTAAGAGGAGCCGATATCCCTGAGAGAATGTTTAATTCCCCAGTAATCAAGGTAGCTGAGAAAAACAGCTTCAGTCATGGATGGAACCTAAAGCCCAAGGAGAACAGAGATGCTGTGCCAACTTACGGCTCCACAGAAGGAGGGAAATGTACTGATCCAGCATGTAAGCTATTGGATTTGTCACTTCTCAGAAGGGAATTTCTCCCTCAAGTCATAAGGAAACACTGTGTGGGCTTCCGTGGAGAAGTAAGGCAGGAAGAGAACTGGGAAGACACGCTATCTCTAGGGGACAATAGCTTTGAGGTGGAAACAGTTGCAGATCATCTCCCCAAGGACGCCTGGGGGTGCCACCCCTTTCTCACCCTCCCCCCCCCCACCCCCGGCACACCCAGCTAACTGCTCAGTGTCCACATCTTACTCTGGCCTCTCTAAGAGGCAGGCAAAGCTCTGAAGTTATTAGAGCCTTTCTGGCAGTTGGCCTCTCACCCCTGAGAGGTGAGAGGTCTCCAGGCAGGAAAGGCTCTTGTCTCTGGTCACACAGGCGGGGTGATGGCAACAGAGGCCACAGCCTCAGATTGGGAAACTAGATCTTGAAAGCAAAACTAGTCAAAGGCCCGGCACTTGGACTTGAATGTCCTCGGCAGAAGGAACAGAGAGCAGTGTGACAGGCTGATAAACAGATCTCCTAACTGAAGCTTGCCGTGGAAGGAGAGATAAGCAGCAGACAGGAAATGAGAGTGAAGCTCTCCCCGGTATGAACTGAATGCAAAACCAGAACAAAGAAGAAAGTCAATTGTCAAGTAACTCGAAGCCCAAGACCTATTTGTTCCATCCCAAAAAAATCCTTCGGGGGAATTCCTAAGAAAGAGCAGGAGGGAAGTTGGGCTCACGCCGGAGCGATCTGTACAGTTTTAAAAAATGCAACAGAGGGAAGGTAACCTCAAAGGAGTGCTTTAAAGAGGATTAAGAAAGTCAAGTGCAAACTGAGGATGGCAAATCAGAGCCTCCTCATGGATCTGGACGGAGAACCTGAGCATCAGAGCAGCAAGTGCTGGTGGGAGCAGACCAGACAGCCCAGTCCTCTGGGCCGGGGCCAGCCCTGCAGAGGAAATGTCTAGTGGAAACATACACCTTACACAAACACCTAAGCACACACACATTAACAACTTCTTTCCCATGGCTGCGCTTCCTCATGGCCAACCCCTGCCCAGCGGTTACCGCCTTCCCCTTCGTGCCCACTCTCCCCACTCTGCTCCGAAACCATGTGCCAGCGCTGCTGACACTCATTTCCTCCAGAGACCTTTCTTCGTCCCACTCGCCGCTGCCTTCATTGTTTGGTGATGGGGAGAGGAAGCACTCTAGACTGAAGTCTGAGTTATAAACCTTCCAGCGTCTGTGACGTCAGAAGCGCCGTGCTGCTCGGGCCCTAGCCACGGGAGAATGTTTTCTCTTTGCGATGTGCCAGGTGTGTTTTGGGGGTGTGTGTGCAGTTCCCCCTTTGTACAGGTGTGCTCCCTGTGGGGCAGACTGCTCCTTTCTTCACCCTCATCGACCCCTTGCAAAGCGGGGCTCGGCCCTGGGAAAGGAGTACAGCCCAGTGGGTCGTGCAGGCTTCTACCTGTACGTCCTCCGAGGACCCTGTGATTTCCCACGTTTCCCCCGAATGCAGCGCCTGACGTGGAAAATCAACAACTACCTGGGTCTGCTTCAGGGTGCTCCTGGCTCTCTGGCCGACAGTACTTTCCGAATGCCTCCTCCTTAGGAATGTCGGGGTAGAGGTAGACCAACGGAGACACCAGGATATTGGTGGCGTCCATGATCTTATAGCCCATGATGATTTCCGCGAATGACATGCTGTTCAGCTGCTGCTTGGTGTATGGCTCCACGGACTGGATCTGAGTCTTACCTGTCGTGCGGCATGGGAAGGAGAGTGGATGGAGCCTGTGGCTAGAAATCTCAGAGCAAGCCCCCTGATTTATGTTCCTCAGGAGGTAAGGACTTATGTCAAGCAGGCGCTTGAGGCGCTGAATATGATGCCTGGTCACCTAGTACTGTGGAAATACCCAGACAGCATCTGGAGAGGCTATCCAGGGGATTTACAGGCAAAGACTCCAGTAACTACTTGCATAATGGGTATTAACAGTGTAGGTGTAAAAGAAGGTGGGGAAAAGAATTTAAGTGGTAATTTTCTAGGCAAAGAGCCCCTGGAGCAAGCAAAACAAAATTGGCACACCAATGCTTCAGCAGGAAGGAATTAGAGCGAAGTCACTCAAACATGTATTAGAAGTCCCAGGAGGGGGTGCAGTGCCAGCCCTCGCCACTAGGGGGAAGCAGGTGCTCGTGGCTAGTAGTGGCCTTGGCAGCAGCAATTGCCGCCAGGTGGGGCGGGTGAGAACCCAGCTTACCACTGATGTCCTTCTCCACCCAAGTGAAGGTGACGCCCCCTTCTTTGCTGCTTTCACTGAATCTCAGCAGGAAGGTTCCTGGGGGCTTGGTGCTCAAGATGGCCCGTTCTCGCTCCTTACTGATAAAGCCCATTATATACCTGGAACCAAAAAGAAATACATGGTTTGGTCTGAGAAGGCCCCCTACACCTGGCCTGCTGAGAGAGCAGATGACTTGTTGCAGACACAAGAGGGCCAACCTACCCTTCATTCCAGAGGGCCAGGATGTATTTTTTCACAAGGTCTATGATATTGTCCAGCCACACCCAGAAGGAAAAGCCCTTGCCAGCCATGTTTTCCTGCAGAAAAGAGTAAAGGAAAAGGCAAGTTTACCTCCATCTCAGCCTCAACTTTCCTAGGGGCCCGGTGCCACTGTCAACCGTTAGGCGCAGGCCTCAGTCCAGGGCGTTCAGGTGAGCACGCCCTCCCGCTCCCATGCCTAAGAAGTGGCCCAGGAGTTAACAAGATTGATTGCTTACTTTGCAAAATTTAGCCCACGTGATCTGACACCCAGAATAGTTAACGCCAGGTCCTGAAGGAAGAAAAAAGCGGTATCATTTTCGGCTCTGAATCAAGCCTTAGTTCTTAAAGCAGAACATACTCATACTCATCTGTTCCAGAATGGGCCAAAGAATGATGGGTTGTCTGAATTTGCAGGCTGTCACTGCTGTGTATATACACGTGTACCCCACCCTACATTCTGACCCCTGCCAGCTGCTCAGCCCAGCAGAGGTGGGCGGATGTCTTCAGGAAATCCCCACAGCCTCTTCCCACCTCATATCCAGGGAGCAGCTGCACCCTGGGCCACAGGTGTTGGGGTCACACCTGGTGGCACCACAGGATATAAATGATTCTACTGAACTTTATTTTTTTTCCTAGGGGAAAAGTTAAAAACAAGTCTACAGTTTACTGAAGCAAATTTATAGATATAGGTGTCAAGCCTCCACCTCTATCATCTTAATATGCACCTAAAATAACTTGCTAAGGTTAGTAAGTGGCTAGAAGTGTCAAAAAACAGTGCCCTGAAGGGGAGAGGGGACGTAGCACTTCCCCACCAGGTGCAAACTTCCTCTGCATCCCCACAGCCCCCCACCCGCTTCACCACCCCAGCATCCTAAATGCTCAGCAGATATCCCTGAATGAATAGCCCCATAGGCCAGGCCAGATTCCTTCTCTGAAGAGGACAGAAGAGGGAGAGGTAAACTGCCCACCTAGAAGTTTCTCAGCCAGCGTGGACAACTGCTCAATGCTCAGCCCTCGCTTTGTGGTGGAGGAGAACTGCCAGCTCAGCACCTCAGCTACTTGATCCCAGGTGCCAATTGGGGGCTTGGTGAAAAAGTTGACATTCTATTAAAAAGAACACATTTGCATGTTTAGATGGAGGGCCAGGGCTTAATGAGCTTCCCAGCTGCATGACCACCTCTGGGCACCCAGAAGTCTCAAGAGGACAGGCCACTCACCTTGGGGTTGTTGGTCAGCATGTTATACCACAGGATCGATGCCCAGGCATTTGGCATCTGGCAGATGTTGGAGATCACCACAACTGGCAAGGAGTGGGTCTGTGAAGTAAGTGGGGATGAGCTGGAGAGACAGAGCACCCTTGTGGCCCCCAAGAACCTTCACCCATCTCTTGCATGGTTCAGAATAAGGACACAGAGAGAACTACCCTACTGCCCATTCTCAAGCGGAGAGGGGCCGAGTCACCAGGAGAGACATGCCACGCTGGGGCGGGGGCTCAGGGCTGTCTGCCCATCGCTAGGTGCCTGTAACACCTGACTTGCCCAAAGATGGATTCACAAGGCACCGATCCCCCACCCCACCTTGTAAAACCGAAGGCATTCTCCAGGAATCCAAGCTGTGTCTATTTAAAGGCAAAGGTCCTAAACACTAGCACTCCCACTTTGATCTCTTTAAAGATCAACAGTTGGGAAGACAGAATGCATGGTTTTATACACTGAAAACACAGGCGCGTTACAGACTCTTGTCCAAACTTTATAAAGTCAACTATAATCAACTTCTTTAAAAAAAAAAAAAAAAGATTTATTATTTATTTATGCATACTAGAACTGGGGTGTAGGCCAGAGGTGTAGGGGAAGGGGTGTGAGAGGATTCACCAGAGACAGAGCAGGGAGCAGAACAGGTGGATCCGCCGAAATACACTGCTGAGGGGAGCAGTGGGTAGGTCGGGGCCATGTGGGTCACCTCCCTGGCCGGTGATCAACTCAGACCACAGAGGTGGATGATAGCTTGACAGCACTGAGACTTTAACCCTTGTGTCATGGGAAAGGCCCTATAATCAATACTAAATATAATTATTTATCAAGCTGGTTGAAAGTTGAGTACACGTCATTTTAGTACTCAAATAAGACTCTGCTCTTAGATGGATACTAAGGGGTTTTTGCTTAAAAAAAAAAAGAAAGAGACGTATACAGAGCTTCGCCAAGCGTTGGCATTCCACCTTCTGCTATTAAAGGTCCAGCTGGACGTCCCTGCCCTGAGTCACCTTGCATGTAGCTCTACCCTGCCCACGGCGGAACTCACCTCAAGGTCAATCTTGAGGCCTTGGTGATACACCTCAGTCTCAAAGGTGATCAGGTGAAGCTCCTCCGTCACAATCAGGGAGGCCTACAAGAACGAGAACAGCACATGGAGCCAACTGCTCTGGCTGAGGAGAGTGACAGGCCAGGGCCACAGACAGTGCAGGGAGCAGAACACACACCCCGTCCTCTTCAACATGAACACTCATGCTATGACCCTCAACCTGATCGTTGTCTGATGCTATTATGTCACGGGGCCCAGCAGGTCACAAGGCAGAGCACAAAACCATGAACACCTGTGCTCACAGCGCCCAGTTGAGGAAAGACCAGCATTGCGAGCACCCCGGGCCCACCCAGTCCAGCCTCTCTCAGATGTAACCACTGTATTTTGTCTTTCGGATTTACCATTCCTAGTTTTCTTTATCGTCTTGTCACATTTATATTCCTGAACAATATGTGTACAGTTTCATACGTGGTGTCTGTGAAGCTTATACACACGGAGCTATGACTTGGCCGTTCCTCCAGACTCACTTTCCACATCCACATGGTCTGAGCCCTGCGGCTGTCCCTTTTCACAGCTGTGGAGTTCTCCATCCTAAAGGTGGGTGCCTGTTCTACTGTGAATGGCTATGAATACAGGCTGTGTTCAGGCTTACACTGAGGCTGCGGTGACATTTTGTTCATGTCTTCTGACAGAGATTGCAAAGATTTCTTTGCTGTCAAATCGTGGGAGTGGCACTGATGACTTACAGGTATGTTCAATTTTTTTCAAAGATTTATTTATTTATGTATACAGAACTGTGGTACAGGTCAAAGATGCAGAGGGGGTGAGAGGATTCACCAGAGACAAAGTGGGGAGCAGAACAGGCAGACTAGCTAAGTACACTGCTGAGGGGAGCAGCGGGCAGGTCAGGAGAGGTCTGCTGCGCCATGTGGGTCAGCTCCCTGGCCAGGAATCGAACTCACGCTGAGGTGACTGCAGCTAGCTTTGTAATGCTGAGCTTTAACCCGCTGCACCACCAGGGAGAGCCCACAGCTATATTCATTTTTATAATGCCATTGTTAAATGCCAAATGTAGCAATTTATACTTCTATTAGCAATGCAGCACAAGAAATGCCAATGAATTCTCAGAAACAGAGTTCTATCTTATTTTTAAAACATTTTTTTCTGAAAAAGTAATATGTATTCCATTCAGAATGCAAAGATTAGAGATGGTATAGAGTAGCCTCAGAGACAGACAGCAGCTTGAATACATAAGCAGTGTTTGGTATAAATTTGTTAAGATTTAATGCAGTCATGGGGACATAAAACAGTGTGGTATGTTTTTTAAACAAATACACTATTATAATCAAGTTATTCTTGCATTTTGCTTTTTCAAAACAAATAAGCAACATACATTTTTCCATGTCATTGTATATACCCTACACCTCATTCTAACGACTGTCAAGTATTAAAATTCAGTTCATTGTTTGAAAAAGACCTACTATATTTAAGAGAAGAATTAAGTACAGCTCAGAGAAATAACAGAAAAAGTTGGGATGTTACAATTTTTTTAAAAAAAAGATTAAAGCTAGTTTGGGTTGCATTTACCTATTTAAGTTTATTCTTGATACCTAGAACCCATTAACCTGAATCAGTGGAAGGTAGTAGAGAAGAAATAAGGGGGATAAAGAGCAAGACAGGTTTGTTTCTCTCCTTTTTTTTAATCCTTAACTTGGAGTTTAAAAAAAGCTTACTGATTTGCCAATCCTTTATGTAACTGCAATTCTGGGGGCACACCCCACATTCACCAGCCACATTCACAAGCCCCCCTGCTTTCATATAGGGACTCCTATATGTTACTTTTCTAACCAGCTCAGTGAGAAAAGCGGGCCACCAAAACTGGAGCCAAGCAGTGACTGCCAGCAAATGTTGGAAGGGGAATTTGGAAAGCCCCAGGCAAGGTGAAAGCTTTTCTACCAAAGGGGTGTGGGTGATCCAGCATGGGGCTTTCCAGTGCTCCTTAAGATGCGCTGACTCCCAGGACAGCAAGGGTAATGCTCCTGCCCGGGACCTGACCATGTGGCTGTGGCCCTGTGGCCGTGCGACTTCCCTGTGTGACTACAGCTGAGACAGCTGGCTGCCACCTCTATCTGGGCAGTACCGGGGGGGGCCCCTTTTTCTCCCCCCTCAATGAAAACCCTCCCACTTGGCTTTCACTCCCAGCAAAACTTACGTCACAATTGGCTCGGCCCCCGTTACCACATCTTTGCTCTCTCAGGGTCTGGAAGAAAAGCAAAGAGCACCTGTCAGTGACTCCCCTAACCCCTCCCTCTGCCATGTGCATGGAGAAAGGGGGCTTCTCTCCGTACCAAGTGCTTGAATTCTGCGGAGAGGCTGCCGTTGTTGGACTCCTCCATGTTCATCACCTTCGTGTTGGTGCCCAGGATGTTAAATTTCCGGGATCTGAACCAAGGGAGATGGAACAACCACACAGGTGACCAAGAGGCCAGAGGACAGCATTAGGTTAAACAGCATGAGGAAGCCTCCAGGCTGAACTTACCCTCTGAGAGCTGCCACGTCGCCAGAGTCTCTGTTAAAAACACAAATCAGTGTTAATAAACAGGCACCATGTGTCTCCAAGAGTCTACTCTGGCCACCCATTAGTCACGCTGATGGACAAACTATTGTGCTCCTGGGCATTTCTGTAAACACCCTGTACATACTTAAGTCCTAAACATCGTTGGCTGCCTAGCTGACATCTGCTCCCCTTTTACTAGTGGACCCTGATCCAACTAAGGCCCCCTTCCCCGCCCCACCGCCAGGGGATCCTGAGGGTAAAGTCCATAAGCACATGGCAAGGCCCAGCCACAGCACTGGGTGATGAGAACACTGATTTACATGCCTCGAACAGCCTAGGAAGGAACTACATCCCAGGCTGGGTTTAGTCCTGTGGCCTTGAGGGCTATAAACAACCAAGTTGTACCTAGAAGGGAACCACAGAACCAGGTGACAGTCAAAACTGCAGAATTGAAGATTCTGGGCACCTGATGCCATCAGTGAGTCACTGGCTTCACCACCAGGAACAGGCCCTCACTGCACTTCCAGTTATACCGGGTTGCAAATTTCCTATTTCACCCACACTGGGTTTTCTGTAAAGGGTTTACTGTTACCTGTAACTCGGGACAGCCTCTTTGGTACAGCTGGAAAGAATCTTCCTTCCCAGCATGCTGACTACTCTTTTTGAATAAAGAATATTTTATATAGTCACATTTCTCAGTCTTTCCCTTTTCTTTCTTTTTTATTATTTGAGCATTGCTGAAAAAGTCCTTTTCTGGGCCTCTCTGGTGGTGCAGGGGTTAAAATCTCAGCACTATCAAGTGATGGCCAGCCACTGTGGCCTGAGTTCAATGGATCTTGAGCCAGGGGGTGATCCACATGGCACAGCAGACCTCTCCTGTCCAGCCCACTGCTCCCCTCAGCAGTGTATATGTCCCTCGATCCACTTGTTCTGCTCCCCATGCTGTCTCTGGTGAATCCTTTCACAACTCCCCACCTCTAACCTACACCCCAGTTCTTGTATGTATAAATAAATAAAAATAGATCTTTTTAAAAATAAATAAAAAGTCCTTCTCTATCATTATGGATTCACTTATGCTTTCAGAGTTAATAACAGCAACTGTTGATTAAGAAATATGATCCATGTGGGTTTACAGATTAAAACAGATAAATTTTAATCTGTATTTTCCTTTTTAATCTTTTTTGTATTATAACCTAGATGTATAATTGATGAATAATTAACTACACTATTTAAAATGTATGGTCCTATGACTTAATAAATGTGTCTATATACACACATATACACATATGCCAGACACACATGCAAAATCATCAGCACAGTCAGGATAGCGTATCCATCACCCCCAAAGCTTCCCAACACCCACTGGTAATCTATTCCCTGAATCACACCCCACCCCACACCACCCCGTGTCATAGGACAACACTGATCTGCTTTCAGTTACCACAGATTTCTAGAATTTACATAAATGGAAACACAAAATATATATTATTTTTCTTGGTCTGGCTTCTTTTACCCTGCATACTTATACTGATATTTAGTCATGTGTCAACACTCCATTCCAGGATGTTGGTAACATTCTATAGAAAGAAATACACCACCAGCTGTTAGTCCATTTACCTGTTAATGGGCACCTTAACAGGTAAATGTACAACCTTTTGTCTGGAATATGCTTTCACTTCTCTTGGGTTAATTCCTAGGAGTGAAGTGGTTCAGCCACGGGGTAGGAGTGTATTTAACTTTTTTTAAAAATGTATTTATATTACATATATTTTTACATCATCTTTCATTTTTGTACCATGGATCATACGTAACTTTTTACATTTCCAAACTTTTCCAAGTGGTTGTACCATTTTGTCACCTTATACTTCACACTCTCCTATCTTGTTAAATATCTGGACTTCATTCTGATGAGCAGTAAAAAGTAAAACTCTTAATTCCCCAATATCAAGTTGGGCCAACATCACTCACTGTACTGAATGATCTACCCTTTCCTTACTCACTGATTTTTGAGGTCTGATTGTAAACATACATTTCCTTAGAGAAACCTGAAGTCTTCTTTGTGGACTTCAGATTTTGTTTTACTCTCAGTCACTTTATTCCTGCCCTAGTAACACATTCATTTAGTAACTGAAACTTAGTCACACATTTTAATATCTGGCAGAGTAGCTTCCCACATCTTGTAATATTATATTTATAAAAATTATTTTTGCAAAGTGGAATGATGGTGCCAGGCCTGGAGGGAAAGGGAAGTTAAGGGACTTGTTGTTTAATAGATACAGAGTTTCGATTTTGCAAGATGAAAAATTCCCAGAAATTTGTTGCACAACCATGAGAATGTCTTCAACACTACTGACCTGGATACTTAAAAATGATTAAGACCATGAATTTCACCTTAATTTTTTCTACTGTAATTAAAGATAGATGTCTTTTTTGCTATCTTTGTTTTTTTCACCTTAGATACAACTTAAAAATCGAGTCATGGGTTTAAAATCCTTTATGTATTCTGTTTGGTGCTGTATTAACTGGGAAGAATCAGCACCTTTATAACAAACGTCTACAGGCCCTCCCTGGTGGCACAGCGGGTTAGGAGGCAGCACTGCAAGTGACCGCAGCCACTTCAGTGTGAGCTCGATCCCCGCCCCCGAGGTGATCCTCATGGCCGGCAGACCTCTCCTGCCCACTGCTCCCCTCAGCAGTGTACTTTATCCAGCTGCCTGTTCTGCTCCCCGCTCTGTCTCTGGTGAATCCTCTTACCGCCTCTGCACTTCTGGCCTGTACCCCAGTTTTGTATGAATAAATCTTTTAAAATAAAATAAATAAACATCTGCAATCCAGGAATATGATTTGTCTCATCACTTTTCAAAATATCTATTTGGCCTTGAAACTCCCTGGTTTTCTTCAAACAGCTCTCCATTTCTGTCCTACTTGTCATAATATATTTGGTACTTTCATTAGTCATTGTGAAACTCATTTGTTCTATTAGTTTCTAATTGGTTAATTTCAGTACATGGTTGAAGTTACTGACTTTTGCTTATTTATTAAGGCTACTACCTTGCTCAGGCCTGTTATTTCCTTAGAAATTTAGCAATTATTTTCCAGTTCACACTCATGAAAATTCCAGGTAAATATATCACCTAAAAATAAGCATACATTTTCAGTTTTCTAATCTCTTCAAAGGATGTGTTGCTTAATTTTTGAGAAGCACTGTCAGGTTTTGAAAAGTGGTGAGGTATGGAATAAAAAAAAAAAAAGAGTTCATCTTTCCCACATATTGTTTTGGATAATATGCACAAACTACATTTATAAGAAAAAAAAAACTAAAATAAAGAAAAAGAGGGATTCAAGGTCACGACACCTATCACAACTCAGATCTTTGCCACTGTCTTTGTGGTTTGTACAGACACATGATGACAATACACTGCAAGGCTTTTGAAAACTTTTGTTCAAAAAAATGTAAATCTCTGAATGGAGATAAAGCCCCTCAGGTCAAATGACATCTGTCAAGCTTCATTTGCAAAATACTAAAGACAAAGCTAAGATAAGGTGTACTTACTTGTCGATGCACACTTTAATTTTAAGCTGATAATTTAACTCAGGGAATTTGACCAGCAATCTATTTCAAAAAAAAAAAAAGGAAAATAAATTCTGAGCAAAGAAAAACAAAAATCCAGTTTAAGAAAACACCAGCAGGCTCTCCCCAGTTACCATATGGTTAAAAAAAATATAAAATCCAGTAACTCTTGCCTTTTAAAGAGGTAGGGTCCTCTCTGCTGGCGCAGCGGGTTAAAGTACAGCACTATGAAGCTCTCTGCAGCCACTGCAGCTTGAGTTTGATCCCTGGCAAGGGAGCTGACCCACAGGGCCCAGCAGACCTCTCCTATCTCATCCGCTGTTCCCGCCAAAGTGTATTTCAATAGATCCACCTGTTCTGTTCCCCACTCTGTCTCTAATGAATCCTCTTACCCCTCACCCCCTGTACCTCTGGCCTGCATCCCAGTTCTTATATGCATAAATAAATAACTCTTTAAAATAAAAAAGGAGAAAGATAAATCACAGATGCCCCCTCTTACCAGTGCTGTCTCTGATTCTAAGTGGAACATCACCCCTTTAGGATAAAAGATACTAAAACAGAGCCTAAGGAATGTGGACCAAGTTGTGAGAGAGTCATAAAAGGATAATAAATAAAAACCATTGCATGGAAAAGATTAAAGGAATCTTTAATAAGCTGCAGCTGGTATTCTTCCCATTGACCTTGAAACTCAAGAGCACAATGGGTATCTGAAGAGAGAAACTGTATGTGGGCTACCGCAGGGCTACCCCAAAACAGCTGCTCTGGGCCGGCTGTAAAAGGAACACTCACACAGCCCCAGCTCGCACCTGCTCTGTGATCTCTTTCAGTGCCACTAAGTCTTTCCCTTGAAATCCTCAAGGAAATGTCAGCTCAAAGAACATTCAATGACTGGCATGCCTTTGCCTCTTTTGCAGGACTGGCGACACCATGGCCTCAAGCACTAGGCCAGCAAACAGGGATGTGCCTGGCCCACTTCCCAAGCTTTCCCACTCATGAGCTTTTGACGTAAGAATCAAAGGGCAAGCCAGGATCACGCCGCCAAATTCCACCCCACCGCGGTACTGCCCAGAAAGCCTGTGAAGAACCAGCCAGGCCCGCCTCGGTGTCGGGTGAAGAAATGCCTTCGAGAATCGAGAATCGAGCCGCTACCCAGAGAGGAAGCGTGGAGGCCTACCTGACTTTCGTAGTGAACTGCACCCCAGTCTTGATGACCAGCGGCCGGTCGGGATGCATGGGCATGCAGGGCTGCCGCTCCACCACGAAGGCACTGGAGGGGAGAGAAGGGCAGCAGCTCACACACTGGGCGGTGCCCCTGTGTGAAAGCCTCTGAAGCGAGCCAGTTTCTGATGGGAGGCAGGGAAGGGCAGGCAGCACCATGAGGAGGAAGAACGGGATTCTAAGTTACCTTTTCATTAAGTTTCTAAACAGCTCCACGATTCTCTCCTCCAGCATTGGCCGGTGCTGTACAATGGGGTCCCCCTTGTAGGAAACTTTTTGCTGCAACTCCTCCAGCTTCTTAATTTGTTGGCGGGTCTGAAGTTGAGATTCTGCTAATGAGGTTATCCTACCGATAAAAAGCAATGAAGTGATGTGAGTGGGTAAGTGCTCGCAGGAGAGAGCTGGAGAAGGAGAATCTCAGACGTACAGACCACCAGGCAGTCCCCTGCACTCAGAAAGGGGATTTATTTTTTTATTGTGGTAAAACACATAACAAAAATACCATTTCTGTGCATACATCACAGTGTACATTACGTACACTGTGGCATTATGTAAGAAGTGGGGAATTGATTTTGTGGGTTTTTTTTTTT